CCCCCCCCCCCCCCCCCCCGAACATTCCCAAATGACAAAAGCTGGCTTTTTCAGAATAACCAAAGCATCAAATACTTGTGGTCAAATTCACTCCTGTGTCACTAAAAGTTTCGCAACGACATAGATGTAGTTGAAGAAAATATGGTCTTCAGAGTCTAGATTACTTGATGTGCCTGTCAAGCTGTGACATGTATTAGCTGATGCACTTACATTACAGCTTCTTATTACATCTCTGTACCAAATTATTTGAGGTCCTTCTCCACTATCTGCCAAGTTAAGAGACAGTCCTCTCAAATTATGCTGGTTTTAAAAAAAAGTTTCTCAAGATTTTGATTTTAACACAAAATTCCAGCAATAAAATACTTACATATATATCAGTATATATTCACACAAACCAACAAGGATCAGGCTGTAATTTTGATCTGACACAAACTCGATAAACCAATACGTAACTCTGAATGTTGAATGTTATTTCTTATGTAGTAAAGATCAACTTACAAGCTTTCCTCGAAGACTTTCACCTTTTCACAGCCTTCTGGAGGTTCACGCTTGAACATGTAGCTGTTGTTAGGTTTTGGTGAGGTAGCATATTTTGGCAAGGGAGAATTATTTCCATTCTCTGCAGGAACAGAGTATCTCATTACTTAAATATGTCACACTATAAAAAAACCCCAAACAATAACTATCTTCAAATGTCCCCCAAATTGAAACCCACTTCATTAGCAATGTTATAAAATTAAGAAACATTTTCATTAGACTTCAAGTCTTCATTTGCAAATAAGCTTTCTCATCTCAAACCCTTTACTCCTTTCTATTTCTCCTTATATCATTTTCAGGTTCTTCTGCAATCTCCGTTCATTCCTGGACACTTTCAGTTTGTAACTGCAAATCTGAATCTGTGGTCCTGTGCCACCGCCATCTAGCCAGAAGAAATGGGCAGAAATCATATCTCTTAAAAACCAGAACAGGTCTACGTCGAATTACAAAATCTGCTAGTAGATCTCAGAAGATTTCTGCTAAAAAAGAATAATTAAAAAACCTCAAACAGGTAAAACTTTTACGGGTGCATGTATGAAATGCTGGAAGGTTGCCTGTTTTGTCCGAGATCATAAGAGATACCTGACACAAGCAACAGGACTAGCCTACTTTGCTGCTCCATGTGTCGCTGCACACTCTTGCTTCTTCACCTTGCTTAAAGTAATTGAAGAATCTACTATTTAAAAACAAAACTTGTTTGGGAAGCACACTCTCCAGTCACACCTATCCAGCTTCAATTACAGAGCCCTAGATACACAGGCATGCACAATATTTGGAGCAATTTGGAAAAAACAGATTGCTTACAAAGAAAAAAATGCTCTACTGTTTCTCTATGGATGTGAGAAATAAACCCTCTCTTTTACGATGTGTTCATGCACATAGCAAGAAGTTAAAGTCTAGCATTGTTGAACTTTTGAAGTTACACAGTACCTTTATCTCTGGAATCAGCAAGAAGATCTTCTGTAGAACATGGACTTTCTTCGCTGCCTTCATTAGAGATGGTAAGAAATGAAGTTGGAGACACTGACTGGGAGCGACTGCTGTTGTTACTATCCCTGTCTGCTCCACCAGGTGTTTGGGTATCAATGCTGCGAGTACTACTGCTACGCTGAACCAAGGGAGGTGGTGCACGGTGCCCATCTGGAATATCTTGAGGCTGTTAAAAATAAGAGCTATCAGATGGCCGCTCTTGTCTGGTTAGCAATTTCTTTAAATCCCGTAACACTCAGGGTTTTTTTTTTTTTGAGTTTCATAAAACTGTTTGAAGTAGAAAATTTCATTCACCACACAAGACTGCAGCAGGAAATAATACAAGTCAGGTTCAGAAACTAAGGACAACAGTTTTCAAGATTTCACAGAAACGCTGAGGTTGGAAGTGACCTCTTGAGATCATGTAGTCCAAAACCCCTGCTCAAGCAGAGTCAGCTAGATCAGCCTGTCCAGGACTGTGTCCAGTCAAGTTTTGACTATCTCCACAACCTCTCTGGGCAATTTGTTCCAGTTTTAAGCACTGTCACACATTTAAAAACAAACAAACCAACACCCCAAAAAAACAAATGAAGGTGTTTTTCTTGTGTTCAGATTGAATTTAATGTTTTTAAATTTACGCCCACTGCCTCTTGCCCCATCATGGGACATTACTGAGAAGAGTCCAGCTCCCTCCTTTTCATTCCTGCACATCAGATATTTACATACTAAGATCCCCTTGAGCTTTCTCTTCTCAAGGCTGAAGAGTCCCAGCTCTCTCAGCCTCTCCTCATATGAAAGATGTGCCAGTCCCTTGATCATCTTCATAGCCTGTATTTCTGATACTTTATTACTAAATTTATCTCTAAAAATAAAATGGAAGTTTAAAATGGGCAAACAGTAGAAAAAGTTACTACAAAAAACTCTCAAAACAGACCTTTTGTCTTCTCCTCAGTTTTACTGAGATTTCTTACTTCATTGGAAAACTAAATACATTACAGTAATCACAGAGGAAAAGGTTCAGATTCAAGCTTTAACTCTTTCCTTCTTTTTGCTTTCCAAGAGAATTTTCAACTACCTTTATTAAAGAAAAAGTAATTCCAGAAAAATTTAATTAAAAAACTGTGCAAAACAAAGCTTACAGTTTAAAATCCGCAAAGCAAAACCAAATAATTATAGAAAGCAATCATGGTGGCAGATACATACAACCAGCTGTTCCTCTTTGTCACCCGTCTCCTTAATTATTATCTCAATCTCCTGATTCAGTCCTTCTACACTGTTTCGGAATCGTGATCCTGTTGATTTGGTAATAGGTATCACAGGAACAAGAGCACTTTTTGGGATGGGAGCCTGAAGAACCAGAGACAGTGAGAAAGCAATGTAGATTTACTTACAAAACACAGTTACTATTTCTACTCAAGAGCGAACCTTTCAACAGGAGACAAACATTCTAAATGTTGTTTCAAATGTACTTTCTAGCAGGAAAAGCTTTCAGATCTTTCTAGTCTCAAAACTTCCCTTGATATGGTCTGCCTCCAGCTTAAGGTTGTTTTCTAAGTGAAAATTTAACAGTAAATGTTTTAATGGAAGTAATTGTGAAGCCTTTACAATATATTCATATTCATTCTGAAGCAAGCTGTACCACAATTTCACTTCCTTCACTGTTGGATTTACCACTTGTAATTTCATCAAAATTGTATTTTAATGGAAGTCTGCTGTCACCTACAGTAACATGACACATGCAGAATTAAAATTATTCCACAAATGCAACAATGCACTATGCTAGAAACAAAGACCAGCACAATAATTATATTAAGCCAGGATAAGAGGCTGACAAAACAATTTAGGAAGCCTTCTACAGAAAGAATAAAATCCCAAACCCAAATGTTAACACACAGTTGCTTCAGAATGAAGATTAACATTTGAAAAATCCAGTGTTTCAAAGTATGCACGAAAACTCCATTCTTAAACACGTTACTCAAGTTTTCCAAAGCCCCTCTTTGATACATCACAACTTCTTGATATTTCCCATCCTCTCCATTAGCATTCTCCTCCCTGTTAAAAAAGCATGCTACCATTAGAAGATTCTACCCTAAACTTCAACACAGACTCTTGGTGATTATGCACAGCAGTACTACAGATAGCAGAATGCTTCCTATAAACATTTAGTTCAACTCAAAGAATAGCATGACACAAAGTCACAGTAGAATTCCTGTGCAAAATTCCTAAACTCTATGGCCTAGTGTGCTGTGCTTGAGAACATCTCTGCTGATTGAAGGACTGTAGCATTTCCATCTGGTCTTCAAAGCGGTTGGTTTGTGTATTTTTTTTTAAATTTTCCTCTAAGTAAAAAGACTGTGCATAGACAGACACCAAAGCATGGTGACTTTGCATGCAAATCCTAAAAAAACAGGCAAAATTTGTCTGGCAGAAAAACTACATCAGAAAAATTAATGTAAAGAAAAGAATTCTAAATGCAGATCATAACGAAGATTTATTCTCGCAATCACAAATCTCTAAGGTGGTAAAACTTAGAAATTATCTTGGTTTTGTTTTACTGAAACATTAGGACAGCTATAAAAAAAAGTGACTTGCACAAGGACTATAAAAAAAGCTTCCGTTCAGGAAAGGCTTGTGGCGCTGTTTATTTCAACAAAAACTAAACATTCTCACAAGGGCCAAACTTGAAAAGACTTTCAAAAGTCTTGCCTGAAGATGAAAAAAAAGAAAACAGAAACCACTGGAGAAGAGCACAAAAAAGTCTGAGAAAGCAACCCTGCTAATTCTTTTCCAAACAAGGCCTTGGATCAGCAATCCACTAAACTAGCACAAGTCAATATTCAGTCATAATACAGGTATATCAGCACAAGTCTAGGCACTAATTAAGGTTGTTTATGCACCCAGTTATTAAACAAGCACATTCTTAGGACACACTGAACTTGTTAAAAAGCACAATGCAAGTACGCTTGTCTAAGGTTTCAGCAAAATGTGAGAATTCTGTCTTTTAAACATGATTGCCTACCATAGAAATTCTTAGAATCATGGTACTATTTGAAGAGCTCAAAGTAGAAAAGCCTAAGTTGCTCCAAACAAGCTCATTACAGTGCAGTAGAGCATGCTTCACTTCCAAGAGAAACAATATTCTGTACATGACTGAGGATGACTTGTTAAGTCGGAGCGCTTAACAAGTGGTGGAAAGGGAAGGAGGTACCGTTACAGGGCTGGAACAACCAGCCTCAGAAAGAAGCTCTGTACCAGAAATACTGCCTTCAGAGAGGTCTGCATGGAGCTGGCCCCTGACATACAGGAATAGGCTACCAACCTTTGACTACTCATCTGCATGTTTGGGAACACACGAAATGAAGCAAGGTGCTAAACACAGGAAGATAAATATAGCACTCACATAATAACACATTGTCAGGGAGTTTGGTGTGAGAAAGAGTTCTGACACTTACAGGTATGGTAGAAACTCATAAGATACAAAATATAGATGATGACAAATCTAAGTTGTTCTCAGGCATTTTGGAAAAACACTCTAAGCTCATCCAATTTATCAACAAGCAACAGAACTTTAAATAGAATCCAAAGTCTTTTGATCCTTTCAGATATTAACATCAAACCATCTCAAGGTTGAATTACCATGGTAATTCCACTCTAAAAATGAAATGTTCTGCCTATGTAAGGTGGTAAGAGTGACACAAAAAAAACCCAACCCCTCCAAACTGCATGCAGTTGGGCTCAATATTAGTGGCTGCTCAGGATCAATTGATTGGTGAGACATTAAGGACACAGACTTCCCCAGAAAGTGAAAGGAGGGGGCTTTACAGTTCACAGTGTCAAGTAGCAGCATAACATCAGCCAAATGCACTGAGAAAAAAGATTATTTTGAAAGACCTAATCCATTTATTCTTCTGTCTGGCTTCAGCTCTGGCCTCAATTCTAGTTTCTCCATTACATTAACACGGAGAATAAAGGAAGATCTCATTGTTTTGACTCCTGTTTACAGATTTTGTACCATGCAACTAATTCAAAATCCAACGTTTTCAGAAGCATCCTGAGATCACCTGAGGAGGCTATGACTTTTCTGCAGCCCCCTCCTCCTGTAAAGAGGAGCAGAATGGAATATTTCTGGCATCATGAAAAAACAGAAACGAAACCCACTCATTGCTCTGGAAAAAAAAAAAAGGAGTCAGCAGCAAGGATTTGATCAAGTTCCTCACCAACTATTTCCTGATTCTGAGTAGATGGACAGGAATAGCTAACAAGCTTATTCCATGGAGATCGTGTGGATTTCTTTATTCAAACAAAAATCATAAAAGAAAGCAGCACAACCGAACAACCAGTCAGAGGCTTCGGTGGTAAGAACCACTGTAAAAACTTTGGTAAAACTCAAGAACTTTGGCGAAGCTTAATTAAGTGTTTATTAGTAGGAAAAAAAAGAGGAAATAAACCCACTGGAATTGCTTCTTTTAGTTTTAACTAGAAGAGTAAGCCATTTCCAAAATGTTAAACAGAGTTTTCTTGGTCTCTGTGAAGGGACTAGTGAGGCAATTTCCTAACACATTTTCTTGGCCTTGTCAAGAATCCAACTCCTTGAGCTCAGAAATCTTTGTATGACCCTCTAGAGTCAACAACTGCAAGTTTCCTTCAAGCTGGGAATGTAAAAAAATTTCTAAATATCCTAATCACTAACTGCGAGTGTTTCCACACAGTCCTTCCCACAAATCCTGAAGGAACTGAGCGGCTGCCAGAAATTCTAGCTTAGCAGTTCCTTAGGAAGGAGTGAGAAAGCCTAGGAACTTTGCCCTTGATGTCTACAGTCACAGATTTTTGACTGCCTTAGAAAGCAGCCTCTAAATGCCATTAATCTAAACCCTTCACTTACTCTTTTTGAAGCTTTCTGTAACTTTCCCCCTTCAAAAGTAGCTTGACACAGCTGGCACAAAATTTACCAAGAAAAACAATGGTTTGTTTTGTAACACAATGCTGGAAAAGCTGCTTTTCCTCAGATTATATTTTATAGTCTGTTTCGAAAGCCCAAAAACTAGCTATATGTTGTGCAATATTTTATTCAGTCACTCTAAAATTTGGCAGAATGCAAAAGACCTCATGCAAGAACCAAAATTTCATTAGCATAATAATGAAGTATTTATAATGAAGAAAAATTATATTAATAATTTTTCAGAGTAATTTTTTAGGGGGTATTTTTCAGAGTAGTAGCATAACTGTTCATTTTGAAAATTAAAAACCACAATGATCATGTATGTTAAAGCGACAATATCTTAGCATTCAGAAACCTACGGGTTTGTAGATTACCAAGCCAAACCTACAGGACCGCATGTAATTCTCTTGTGTGCTAAAGGGCCTACACTAAAAGTTCCTCAGTACATTTTTTTTGGTTGAAATGCCTCAATTGCCCAAAAGTACAAAACAAATCTTCAAACAAATTCTACAAATTTGGATAAAATACCCGCATCAAGTATTTTGACCTGCCCTTTTTTTTTTTTTTTAATGTGTCTCATCATAAACTTTTTCAAAAAACCCTGGAAAGGGATTGGGTCACTTATTTGTCCTTCTTTAATAATTTTGGACTGTTCTGACTTGAGCTACAGCAGTCATTAAGAGCAGCAGCAAGCTACACTGCACCGATACTTCATAAAGCAGATAAAATATAGGAATTTGTACTAGACAGCCTGTTTCAAATTCAAACTGTTCTTCTGATATGCAGAAGAGGAGGAAACAGTTTCTGTTTCAAGATTTAAAGAATCTGAAGTAGTAATTCCTCAATTATTATGTCAAAAAATGTAATCCTAAAAAAAAAAATAATCCTAAATACTATGCTTCTAGTAGCACAGAATTCAAACCAATAACAAACTGAATTCAAGAGGCACTTATGTCCTGAAAATTCATGACTCCTAATTAAATGAATTATATTTAATAAATTAAGGTCTGAGACAAAAGATTACACTGATTTTTATACAAAGCAGGAGTTAAGACGACCACTGCAGGAGAAATTCAAAACACTGTTCCACTTTCTTATTTCCAGTCCTGAAGCATGAGAGATTCACTCAGACACCTGGCTGTACATATGGTCCTCTCTCCTATTTTTTATTTCATTCTTCACCAGAATGGGTAAATACCTGTAGAGCAGGACACATGCTGATGTCACTACAGCTTTTTTCCCTGGCCTAAATTTTTTCTGAAAGGATGGAACGACAAAGGAAACACTTAACTGGTATCAAACATATTAGAACAACATTAACTGCATTTCAGGAGTAATTTGGAATATGATTAGATTTGCAGAGAAGCTTCACAGCTGAAGTACTTTCTCAATTCACAACACTGCGTTCCACAATTTCTTTTAACTCCATGGACTCACAAGGCAATTGAGAGATTGGTTCTTTTTATAACTGCAAAAAAAAATTGTGTGTATAGCAAATATACATTCAGGAGATACTAGTAGGGGGGAAAAAGTGACTAAACTTTCCCATTGGTTTTCTTAAAGCTACTCTAGCAAAACAGACTTGAAAAAGGATCTGTGTCCCTAAAAGCCTGTTATTTTTTTTCCACCTGCTATCAACTGAGCTAAAAATACTACCTCTCTGTGAACCCAGCCTCATTAACAGCCTTGAGATAAAACTAAAACTGCACACAGAACATGTGGTGGCCTAATCATCACAATTTTTGAAGTGATTATTACATAAAGTTTCAAGGTATGATAAATGACAAGGGAAAAAAATATTTAAAAAAAAAATCTTAAAGGCTCAATGAAACCACCCAGAATATAAACACTTTTAATAGAATACGTAAAAATCCCATTCAATAGCCTTTTCTCAGGTAAGCTCTCCAAATCAGTTCATCAACTGATTAGATAAGTGCTGTTGTCAAGACACAAAACGCGATCAGCAAAAACTACAATTTCATTTGAGCGTATCATTTTACCACCAGTTTGCTCCATGCCATATTCTACATGCAAATACATGATTGTTACAGCAATGCGTAAAGAAAAAGATAATAAAAAATAAAAAGTTTAATATAAAACTTATCTGTCATCCTTTTGTAGAATCTGCAGAATGCACTTCAAGAGTCTTGCTTTAAGGAAGGATCTAACTATACAAAATTCTTTGAAAGTGGGAGTTCAAAGCCAACCCAGCCAAGTGACAAAAAGATCCAGGACTCCATACACTCGAGGAAGTTAAGGAAACGTACCTATTTCTTAGAATTCGCCTATAGCTACAACATATTTAGCAGTACGTAGTGTTTCTAACTTCCCTTTAAGACAAATCACAACCTTGAAAGGAGTTAAAAATAGTATTAGGTACCCGGTATGTCCAAAAAGTGAACAGCCTTACCTGACTGTGGTTAATAGCTGCATGGTTACCATGAAATGGAGACTGTCTTTCTTTATCGCGATGATGTCTACTGCTGTGTTTGCTCCTCTGCAATTGCTGACGCAATTTTGCAATCTAATAAAGGCAAAATTTGTATTAGATTTCACCAGATATATTCCAGTACACATATAATTTCATCAATTTATTCCATCACTTCGTTAAAATTCTTTACTACCACAATGTCCAGAATTATTGCCAGCACTAAATTAGACTCAAGTTCTTGCAAACCTAACATGTAAGCTACCAGTTCAGCAGAAGCCCGGAAGATACCTCTGGAGGTTTAACAAAAGAACTTGAAATACATAAAGTTTGAAAGTAGTTTGGTCACTGCTGTATTTCTTCCTTTGATGAACAATGTCACCTACATTTGACACTTTCTTTCCCACACTTTCAGATTATAAATTCTAGTAGTTCTGCATTATTACATGAAATCAAATGGATAGCTATTTCTTATTTTCTACCAAGCCCATGATCTGTAAAATAATAAAAAAAAGCAGTACAATATTCATGCCTTCCTGAAAAGTCACAGTAACAGTGCATACCAGTAAAAAATCTAATCCAACAATATCTCAAACACTAGCATTTCTGACCTCCTTGAGTTGATCATTGGTGCCCCATGATGCTGAACGTTTGTGCGAGTTTCTCTTCTTTTCTAAATATTCTTCAGCCCAGGCACTTTCTGTCTGCAGCAAGAAGATTACACGATTAATTAAAAAAGGTAATTCCTACTTTCTGGCAGAATATTTTGAGACAAATGAGAAGAGAGAACAGTGTTAAGATTCACTAGATTCTGAACTGCAAGGGAAAATCAGTCATTGGCAAGAAGCCTTTTCTGACAAGTGAAGTGTGAAAAAGTGGAATGAAACTATGTAATTAAAAAAAACACCAACCAGAACACAAAAAAAAACCTGTCAGACCTACTCTAACACAGGAATTTGCTAGTTTCCATTCTAAATTATAGAGCATAAGGCAGTATTAACAGCCAGATGTACCACAAGCTGCTACAAAGCTCTGAAGAACCAGTAAGACAGTGCTAAAGCTGGGGGAGATGGCATATTTTATTTCCTGCACAGATGCTGACCTTGTTATTTCTGACACATTAGCAAGGGTAGCTTGGTGTAAACATTCTGAAAGCCTGCACTAGTACACCTTCAAAATCATATCCTTGCTCCGAAGAATGAGAAAAAGGAAGGCAAGGCATATAAGCACCACTAGAGCTATTGCAAAGCAGGGAATTAATTTATTAATGCCTCAAAGGGCTTCAGATTCAGAGTTGTCTCAGGCCAAGCAGAAAGCAAGACAGATAATACAAAGCTAGTTTCACTATACCAACAAAGTCATTAACATTGATTAAAGTCACAAGAAATACACTTAATGAAGTAGAGGCAACGGTTTCTGGAGCAGCTTACAGACTGAAAGAGACAGCAAATTCCTTTAAATTCACTGTTGTCACAGTGCAGTTCTTGGCACACAGCGGTGATGTAGCTAAATCATCCTTAAGTCATTGATATCTCGCTTTCTCCTACAGACAGGAACTTTGATTGCCTCAAAACCTTCATGTCTACAGTGTGCAACAGTTGTTCTTACATTTGAGACTCACAGCTCCCAAGCCACAAGCTGACCTTACCCCACTTGCACTCAGAACACAAACTCACAAGGCCTTCGATGATGTGGTATTAATCCCCATCTGCAGTGAAAATGGACGTGTAACTCCAAATATACAGGTTGTAATTCTTATCGGTTTCAGTTACAGATAAAATTTCATATAAATGAAACCTCCACTATCAGGAGTTTTTAATCTTCATCATTCCAAATCAAAAACTAACCAGGACAAATCTGAATAATAAAGTTAGTAGGGTTGCTTTGAAATTCGTATTTCATAGCAAAATTAAAATCCATTAGAATCTTTTTTTTTCCAGAAAAGCACTCACTTATCTTCATCATAAAATAGAATAATTGATAACCCCCATTCCCAAGTACCAGTCTTTGTCTAGTCAATTCTCAAATGTCAATCTGGAGTCTCATCCTATCTTCTAGCTCCCAGAATAAGTTTTAGCCACTAATTCTAACTTCCCAACTCAGCACAACCATTACACTTGCCTACAGGAATCTAATTAACACTCCAATCAGGTTTTGCATTTAATTTATATTCAAGACATTGACTTAAGATTCAAGACTTATTTCATAAATTAATATCTGATTCATTTTAAAGGATTAAAGGTTGCTTTGATGCTCATTCTCAAAACAAATAGTTAGAAAACTTTTTAGAGAAAGAGTAGTTACAAGACATTAAATTATAGGAAACCTTTACATCCAGACAGAAGTGTAATGCTATTTTAGCAAGTCTCCTCCTACTTCTGTCCTGTATTTTGTTTATAATGCTTATTTTCAAGAAACACAGACTCAATAACCAATAGAGAAAGAGGGATTTCTATTTTTCTAGGTTCTGAAAGTACTACTACTTGCTTATTAAGTGCTACCATTCAAAACATCTTTCTGCCTGTTCTACAATTAAAGAGAAATGAGTTGAAGGCTAAATTTATCATAGATAGTAGAACGCTTAAGAAAAGAAGAATTTGCAGTTGAAATTAATTATTCTTTAAGAATTAAAAAAAAAAACCACAAAGCAATTGTCTCATTTTAACTCGTATTTCAACATTGCTGTATTTCAAACAATGACAGGCAAAGCCAAACAGGTTTGATTCGAAGGAAAAAAGATGTAAGATTACCAATACCTGTTTTAGCAGCACTTAAGACAATATCTGCATGTATCAATTCAAGCCAGACCACAGGATGCTCAATAATACAAAAGCATTCTGCATGTACGTAATTCAGTCTGGTTTCATCAAAACAATCCATTGAAGCAGGAGTCTGATACACAGACAGTCTCTGCATGACCTGGGAAGTCTTACACAGTTCTCAGCTATGACCTATGGGCATCTCTATAAAGGCCTGCAAGTCTTTCATGTGTCACTAGCTGCTGTCTCTTCCCAGCCTGCTTCCTGAATGGCTCTACTCCCTATGCCATAAACCTGCAGAATCAAGATACCCTGCTTACTCAACTTGAAAATCTTTAATATCTTAATAGATTCAATTCCTGTTCCCTAAACTTTCGCATTTGGAACACATTCATTTCACAGACTTTGTGAGATCTGAAATTACACACTGGAGCCAGAATATCTTGTAAGTGAAACTTCATGCAAACGTCGCGTCTTCAGAAACACTAAACAACACAAAATGAGAGCCTATACTACCTTGGGAAACCAACTATTGTAAATCACATTTTAAACTTGTCCCTAGCTCAAATGGTTGCTCTCAAGCACACCAGAAAGATTAAATGCAACGGTGTCTCACCAGTGTCATATCAACACAAACTCTGGGCATACAGATATATGCCTGTATCCCAAAATTTTCTACTAGCTTGATAAATTTTAAATTAGGAAGTGCAAAGAGATCGTTCTATTTCCCTCAGCAATATACTAACATCAATCACCACTAAATATACTAATTCTGCAGAAATATCCAACATCCTTTACGGTCTTCCCATTAACCTTTGCAAATGTGTTTCCCCTTATATGTTAAAGCTCCACTACCATAGCAGCTAGATCTGTCAGATTTGGAAGAAAAAGACAAGAGAAAAATATAAGCCAAAAAGGATGTGATAATCTGAGTATTTTCCAGCTAGATTAGATATAAAAGCCTAACTATGACTTAGATTAAACCAAAGCTAAGCTGAAAAGAGATAAATTGAATTTAGCAAATAACTTTGCAAGTAGTATAGAAACATAATTATTTTGAAAAAAGTATTCTAAAAAATCAAATATGAAAATAAACAGCTAATATACCCACACTGGTTTAGTTCTGCCCTTTAATGATGCCTTTTAATAGCTAAGCATGAACAGCAATTCCTTGTATATCATACACCTTTATCATCCTCCTCTTAGTATGATCTGCTTACCTTTTTCACCCCATTTTCTAACCATTTTTCAGATTCATTTTCCTGCCCAGAAAACTTGTTCCTTTCCGACCTTTCTTCACCAGTTTCTAGTCCCACCTTATCCACATGGGCATATTCCCCTAGAAAACACCTTACTTTCCTATTGACCTGCTCTTCGAATTGTGGTCCTTTTTACAAAACGTTGTGGATCTTGAGAAGGCCATACAGTAACAATCGACACTGCAGACATCATCTGCTCAGCATCCTACACATTTGAGTGGACAGCAGGTTGAAACCTAAGTGGCCACGTTTTTGTTACTGTTACCAAGCCTAAAGCAGGCTCAAACTCAAGTGTCCCACATGCTGTCAGTTTCTCTTCCAACTGCATTTTGCTTATGTTCTTTGGAATTGGTGGAGACCTGTAGTTGAAACCATGCTCTAGAAATAGAGATTTAAAATCTGGTATGTTTGGCTCTTTCTTTCACTCTACAAGTAGAGAAATCCACTGCCAGACTGCATCCACAGAAGGAGAAATTAAATACTGGGATATTTTATGGAAAACTCCATCTTGAATCACTTCTGCATACAGTAAGATACCACGTAACAACTCCTCCCTTTAAGGGGAACGATAAAGCAACCGTCCTAAGTGTATAACTCTTGTAATGCCAGCTTCATTCCATTGTTTGTTAGTTCTGCCTTCACCGGTAGCATAGGACTGAACCATTACAAGCTTGTGAAATTTTGTCAAGTTGTTGAAGTTTATTAGCAAATCACGTATTTTTCTAATAGGCTTCCCAGTTGAGCTAAATTTGAACATCATTCATGGTTCAATGAGGCAGCTCTTCAACGTATATAATTCTATACTTAGTGCATAGACCCCAGGTGAACACTAAAGGCCTTTTATAATCAGAGAACGATGAGCCTATCATAGAAAAGGGTACAATAATTTTTATACAGGCACTTACAGAAGCTTTTTTATTCAGTTTTAAGACAGATATACATGTAAAGAGCCACTCAGTTCACTTGTATAAATTTAAACTAAATAGTACTTAACACCAGTGCAATCTAGTGTACCGTACACTGTAAGAACAATGAGAAAACACGTGCAATACCACAGTGTTTTTCTGAGGCAAGGAAAAAGCGGAACTCTCAGCAGATATTACAGCTCACAGTCTTAGAGAAGAATGCAAATAATTCTCATACGTAACAGCACATGTAGGATTCCTACAATTTGAAAGTGAATAGGAACTTGCAAGAAAGAAAGCTAAAGTGAATGTTTTCAAGGGAAAAGTTTCTTACATTTAAATACTGTCTTTTCATTTAAAAAATCCAAAGACAAAAATCTGTCCTACCTGAGTGGCTTTGTCTCTCATACATGGAGCAGCTTGTCCATGATTATCACGAGGCCACTGTCCAGCAAGGTATGGAGCAGCAAGCGTATCCAATGAGGAAGTCCGGCGAATAATACTGGAAGGGCTTGATGAAGGTGGTCTTGATTTGTCACCTAGAATATGAACACTTCATTAGAAAGAAAGCAAAACAGAGAGCTTAATTATTCTAACTGCTTACAAGAAATCATATCTAACCAGAACTATGTTATTAAGTATAGAACAAGATGCTTTTAATAAAGGAATTAGGTTTGCTTTTCCAGGCTCTATTCAGTTTTAATAAGCAATGAAACGTGTTTTTATGGTTTCCTTAGGAACATCCTTGTGTCACAAACGTTGCATTGGTACTGACACACCACCATTTATTCCCTCAAAGGTGCAACAGTCATTGAATTCTTAAATGATGAACTTGTAAGAAATAAAAGTAGTTAAGTTTCCTCATAGATAAAGGCCAACAAAGAAAATCTATGCTGAACTTTTTCAATTTAATGCTGAGTTTAGAGTTCATCTCACTAGCCTTTTACCCTTCACCTACTTTAATTCAAGGGGCACTATAAACTGACATGTTTTATTAACCACCCAGTAAATAATATATGATAGATTCATCTGTCTAACCCTAGGATCCAGAAGTCAACTCTGATAAGGTAATGATTTACATTTCACACATAATCAAGACATCGCCTCCCTTTACATGCTACTTGGTAACTACATTCATACTTGCCTGACACTACACTTCTGCAACACCTCATTTTTAGCATTTACATTGATATCACTTCTCAGAACTATTTAGATACTAAGAGGAATCCTTACTGAAAAATGTTAAATATAACAAGCACAGGAAGTAACATGAGAAGGAAGAATATGGTTAAAAACACAAATTTGCATCTATCCCATCTGTCAGCAATACCTTAAAGTGGCAGTAAAAGACTACGCTGCAAGCTAGTAAGTGTAAACACTGTGAAGAAAGGTTCCTCAAAATAGTAATTGAGGTTGGTTAAATTAAAGAGACTGACAAGCAGGAAAGACCGGGGTTTAAATATACATATATGCTCACACATTATTTGTTACTAGCTATTCAGATGTAAAATGCAAATCCAGAGATCACAATTATCTAAGCTTACTATCAGTTCATCTACTCCCCAGAGAATTATAACTGAAAGAATCGTATATTAATCTCGCCAATAACACATACAAAGGCCTAAAACAAATGGCTAGAGCACAACAAACAAGATACAGAGATCAGATGGAAGCTTTACAAGGGCACTGGAAAAACTCCAGTCATACGTCCTTCCTGACTATGCCTTAGGATGAATTCTGCACTAGAAGTATAAATAACATAGCAATTTGTATTCTACATAAGCTCATTTATGGGCAAAAGAATTTGTGTCTGATTAGTGTCTGACTGCTAGTCAAAAAAATAAAGACACTGCCATCAGAAGTCCAGAAATCAGCTTCTAAGTTGTTTCAATCTACTACAGATACATAAGTATTAATAAAACCTACCAGGTATATATTTCAGTGGTGTGGGCAACATCTCAGTCTCACAGAACACCAGCCTTTCAAATGTGACATTCTACACCAAATATCCTCATGCAAATTTTGTATTAGAAATGTACGCATTAGAAGTGTGGAAAATATTTCAAATCAACTATACGGAAATAATTATTAGCACTATGATCAGCCACATTCACATAAAGCAGTCCGGAAACCTCATCTGGTTTATTATTTCTACCAGTACCAACAATGATGAAATCTTTCTACCGAGCTTACGGCAGATCTGCTCTCAGGGGGTAGCAGCAAAGCTCCATTTTGGAGTTACCATGCACTTAAGACCCCTGTGTCAAAGAAATTCTCTGACTACTACTACCACCATACAGCACACTGAAGGGTCTGTTTGTATCAGAACATTTCAGAATGATTCCTTTTGACTGTACCATGGGAGAACACGGCATGCTAATGCAACGTGCCATTCCTTAAAAATTACTTGAAAAATCCTTGGCTTCCAAAGTTATATCAAACATGTTATGTCTCAGAAACCACTGCCATGCTCTCTCTATTTTTCTTCTGAATTATTATTCTTCCACTTCAAGAAGTTTCTCTCTTTTTATCAAGGGGAAACAGAAAGGACATGAAAAAAATTAAAAATCAGGAAGTGTATGCAGTCAGTCACATCATCTGTAAAGCCACTGCAGCAGACAGCTTCAAAACTGAAGCAGCAAAAACTATTACCCTCTCTCTGTCCCCTCCCTTCCCCCGCCTATCCCCCCGCCCCCCCCCCCAAAAAAAAAAAAAAAGGTGGAAAGAATATTTTGCTGGGCAAATAGAAAGAATGAAAACTAAAGAGCCTGTTTACTATTTAAGTTAAAGGGAAGCTGCCCATTTCAAGGCACAAAGCCTATAAGTACTTTCTTTTCTTCTGATTTAAAAATTCCTTCAAGAAATTCTGTTTTCAAATTACTTCTATTTAGATAGGACAAGGATGTTTGGATACATTTTTACTCACTTTTCCACCTTCATAACATGTCTTAATACAAATTGTCAAAGTCTCCTACAGAACTTCTCTTGTTTCAAAACATTTCAATGAGAACATATACAATGTTTTCATTGCACTTTCCTCTACAATATTTGAAGCAAGCGTTCAGCTTCTATTTTCCCTGGATGTGACCTACATAAGAGATCTGCCTCCACAGAGATAACAGTTACAACAGCTGTGGCTGATGAAAAACAATGGAGCCATTTCATCAAATATACGCTTCTTAAATATTAGATCTGTTTCAATTGGCCTGATTATCTCTTTAAACCAGTATTTGTGATAAACATCAACCCTCCTACCCATTCACCACTACTCTAAATCTATTTAGAAACAAAGTCCTTCTGCAATCTGGCTTCAAACAAAGCAAAATAACAGCACAAAACATAAATTCAACATACACAACACAAACCAACAAAGTCCATGAGGTGGGAACATAACAAAGTTACCATGTCTTCACAAGTCACTGCAGCACAACCAACTGCCTGAAGTTGCTACGAGTAAACTGGTATCACCCACACCTATTGCAATTGCGAAGTCAAGCACCTCGGAAGGCAATTGAAGCTAAACCAGTCTATCAATGCGACTGAAGAACAAAATTGAGCAAATACAGATGCTTATCAATTACTATCTGAAAGGCAGGAAAGAGAGCACCAACTTGGGGGGGGTCTTAACATACAAGTCCTACAACTACAGTTACAACTGAAAACGGAAACTACAGTATGAGAACACATACCCTTGAACTGGATACCTGACGGCAGAGAATTGCTATATATAAAAGAAAAGAAGGAAAAAAAGAGAGAAGGTCTTACACATAAGAAAGTCCTAAGAGACAAAACACCCTGAAAATTCATCTTTCAATTTTCAGGAAAAGTTCAGAACTGTTGTTTGAACTGCAAAGTAAGGATTACTGCTGAAGTGTAACTTGAAGATTGATCTTACAGTACTGTTGATATCTTTCTACATATTTGAAATTAAAGTTTTGAGAAAGGAAAATAAAAACTCTGAAGAAACATCTTCTAACAGACACCATGAGAAAACAACACAAAACTAGTAAGCAGCAGAAAGAGCCACTGGAAGAGCACGGAACACCATAAACCAGACTAAATTCTTTGACAGATTTCTAATTGAAGCTCTTTATATAGGTAGGATATTCAAAAAGTAAGAAAAAGTGAGACCCAACTAGCTTCTCCGACATCTAGGCATACAGTTGCCCTTTTCCTTCTGTTTTGGTCAGCCTTTCCCTCAGGACGGAAAGTGATGGGATTTCTGTCTTTTCCAAAAAACTTGTACAGACACAACTGATCCCAGGGTCTTCATCTACTTTTTAGGTTTTGTTGAAAGTATTCAACAGGCTCAAACAGTATTAAGAACAAATGCACAGCACAACTCTGTATATTCCCCTTGGAAGACAATCTTGGCTATTATCATCACTTAGACATACAAGAACTACTCACATGTTTGCTTCTAGCAATTCAGAGTGATCCCTGGGCAGGAGAATGATCGAATTAATGTTGTTTTACAAAACCCAACCTGAGAAAGCCTAAGAACATTTTGAATCCAAATAAACTCCCCTAAAGTGATGGCCACAAGAAACGTGAAGTATGATGCTGCAAAAATGAATTCACTTTCTTTACACCTACCATTTGTTCAACAGCTTCGGTAAGCAAAGCAGGCATGTAGTGGCACACAAAGCCTTCCGTACTCTCTTATCCTGCAGTAACATCTTTTACCACCTCTGCAAAACCTTGGTAATTAATGTTGACAGGTCTGTAGCTATTATTGTGTCACTCACAAAATTCTTAAAATAATTAAATTCTACAGTGAAATTTAAGAGTGTAACAGAGTTCCATTCCTTCTCCATACCCCAAGGAGGGGTTTACATCTGAACTCTTTAAGACTTTCCAATACACTATTATAACAATTTTCATTGTTTCCTTTCACACCAGTAGGCTTTAACATTACTCTTCTATGTATTCTAAACAACTAAAGGATAATGTAGTTCAGGATAAAAATAACCAATTTTTCTCCTTAATTTCCGGAGTATGTTTAAATGTCCAATACAGTCAACTGGAACACACCAGCAAGTTCAGCATCCAGTAGAGAAATCTCTCACAACCTCGAGGCCCCTGAAAAGGTCAGGAAACAAGTGCTATGGCTCTGGTCTTGACCTCATTGTTTACACAGCCTGGTGCATTATAACATTTTTGGAGCTGAACAGTTAAACTCCTCTGAGAAGATGTGTTTTATATAAGAACGAAAATAACAAAATTGCATTTGATCCTTACTCAGTAGAAAAACCAAGATAAAAATAAGTACAAAGGTAGAGCATACACATTTCTTGATCTCACTTTGCAACAGTCTACTTGTAGGCCAAACCGATTTCCTCTAACACGGGTGGTTTGCAGACAGGTAAAGAGACATATATGAAAACTGAACCAAAACTGGAGATTGCAGGACAGACCTTGCAGTGTAGAAACGCGGCCACACCAGTGATGGGAAGCACAGAGCACATTAACACACAAGCAGAAGCTGAAGTCTGTGAAGTAAGTGCTGTAAGTGCTAGAGTCTACAAGGAGGA